CCTTGCTTGAGAGGTGGTGTGGTGGGACAAGCCAAGCACATGTCCTCCTTCCCACATCTGGTCCCATGTGTGCGCCCCCCAACTGCGCCGCCCCCGCTTGTCCCCGCATCACCGGGGCTTGGGCTACCCGCAGTCTCCCTATGTCACATACAGGGCCGGCTGCCTGTGAAGTGGATGGCCCCCGAGGCCTTGTTTGACCGGATTTACACCCACCAGAGTGACGTGTGAGTTTCAAAGTAGCAGTTGCCAGGGAGACATGGGATAGAACATTCCAGCGTAGTAAAGTCCTGGGTGCCCCTCTGGATTGACAAGGGTCTGCTTCCCTCTCGGAGAGAACAAAACAAAACAAAACACTGGACGTGTCCACCTACCTTGTTCACTCGGTGGAGGTTGGAAGGCCAGTGCGAGCTCCAGCGCTGGCCCTCGCGTTCCCCGTAAGCGTCTGTGCTCGGGGAGGGTGGGGTCAGGGTGACACGCCACCGGGGAGACGGAAAGGATTCTGGGCTGGCCTTGCCCTGTGCCCCTGAGACCTGCTGGCTCTGTGCTCCTCCACAGCTGGTCTTTTGGGGTGCTCCTGTGGGAGATCTTCACTCTGGGAGGCTCCCCGTATCCTGGCGTGCCTGTGGAGGAGCTTTTCAAGCTGCTGAAGGAGGGTCATCGGATGGACAAGCCCAGTAACTGCACCAATGAGCTGTAAGTGTGGGAGGATGCCTGAGGTCCTGGGCCAGGCCCTGGGGGAAGAACAGAGGGAGAAAGGGGCCTAGCTAGATAAAGCGGCCCTGCCTGGGTCCTCCCTCCCTGACTCGACAGTCCTCTCCCAGGTACATGATGATGCGGGATTGCTGGCATGCGGTACCCTCTCAGAGACCTACATTCAAGCAGCTGGTGGAAGACCTGGACCGCATTGTGGCCTTGACCTCCAACCAGGTGAGGCTGTCCTATCCTAGCTTTGGCCACCATCCCCCGAGCACACCTCTGTGAGTGCGCACTGCCGTGGGGAGGAGAGTGCCACATCTTCTGTCTCTCCTTGCACAGGAGTACCTGGACCTGTCTGTGCCCCTGGACCAGTACTCTCCGAGCTTTCCCGACACCCGAAGCTCTACCTGCTCCTCGGGGGAGGATTCTGTCTTCTCTCATGAGCCGTTGCCGGAGGAACCCTGTCTGCCCCGACACCCAGCCCAGCTTGCCAATGGTGGACTCAAACGACGCTGACTAGCACCCCCATCCCCCCGGCCCAGACTCCATCGCGCCGCTGTAATCCTCACCCCCTAACCCCTCCCTGCGGGACTCACTGCCTTCCCCTTTGCCCCTTTCCTGCTGGCAGGAGCCAGCTGCCTACCTGAGGCCTTCACCCCTCCCCGGAGTTCGCCTTTCTTCCTCCTCCTCCTCCTCCTCCTCTTCACAACCTGCTTGTGAGAGAGAGGTGCAGAGCGGCAGGGCCTTGTTCCCGGCGAGTTCGTGCCCTCCCACATGTTGGACCAAGACCCCTCCCCGCCACCTTGGCGCAGTGCCTGGAGGCTGGGGAGTGGGAGGTAAGCAGGCATGCCAGCGAGAGCGGACTGAGCTTTCCTGTGTTGGTTTTGTCTGCTTCCTGTGACCCGTAAGCCTGAGTTCTGGTGGTGGGGGCCTTGTCCTCAGGGCTACAGTGGTAGCGAGGGGAGGTCAAGCGCTCCAGGCTTTGGCTGAAGGCGGCCTCTGCTCCAGAGAGATGGTGCCAGGGGCTTATTAATTCTAATACTAATTTGCTTTGCTGACCAAATACCTGGTACCAGAGGATGGGGAGGCGAAGGCTGGGAGCAGTGTCGTGGCCCTGGGGCCCAGCCCCACGCTGGGGGCTTTGTATATAGCTATGAAGAAAACACAAAGTGTATAAATCTGAGTATATATTTACATGTCTTTTTAAAAGGGTCGTTACCAGAGATTTACCCATCGGGTAAGATGCTCCTGGTGGCTGGGAGGCATCAGTTGCTATATATTAAAAAACGAAAAAGAAAAAAAAAAAGGAAAATGTTTTTAAAAAGGTCATATATTTTTTGCTACTTTTGCTGTTTTATTTTTTTAAATTATGTTCTAAACCTATTTTCAGTTTAGGTCCCTCAATAAAAATTGCTGCTGCTTCATTTTTATATGGGCTGTGTGACAAGGGAGAGGATGTCCGCTGAAAAGGAGCGAGCTTCCCGGGCCCTGGGGTTGTGTCTGTGCCAAGGGCGCCCAAGCTCCCTGCAGTGCCTCCTCACCGCTTCCCCTTAGGTCCTGCACCAAGACCTCCGGGACAAACCTCCTACCTCTCCGATGCTGTTCGGAAAGGCAGGAAGAGAAGACGACGTCTGTGTAGTGGGCAGGAACTTCAGTGCACCCGAGGCGCTGGGCCCCGAGCCAAGGCCCTACCGCCGCCCTCAACTACAGATTGTTTCCTTAGAGGAAACTGGTGGGGTTGGGTGGGGTTGGAGGGTCAGAAGGGGAGCTGGGGGCCTACCTGGGAATAGCCAAGGGGTGGAGCTAGAGGGATTTAAAAGGAAAGCTACGGATTACAGGACCAAGGGCCTGCAGAAACTCAAACCCAGATATGTGTCTCCCCCTTTATGTGGGTGTGGTTTTGTCTGTACTTCTGTGTGAGGGAAAACTTGTCATCTAAGATCAGTTTGACATTCGGACCCCTTGCTTCATGTCTCCCAGCTTCCTCTGGCCTTGCTTCTCTCACCTGCGCGCCTCCCCGCCATTCTTCCTGTGTCTGTGACCAGACTTGTGTGTTGAAACTATCGCAGATTTTGGCTTCCTATAAGTTTCTTCCTGTATAAACTCCACCCCATCCCCCAGGAAAGGGGAAAAATTCTCTGAATGTTTGGTGTTTGGCTGCTTGGAAATTTTCTTTCTCTGCCACCTGCTGGTGATCGCTGCACTCAGCATGTGGGTCCCTGCTCCTCACAACCTCAGCCCTGAACCTGCAGGCACTCCGCCCCCCCCCCCCCCCCCACCCCCCAGGCTTACTCTCTGCGCAGTTACCATGAAATACGGAAGAAAGTTCAATTCGCTTTCATTTCTGCAGGGCAAACGGGATTGCTGCTTTAAGTTTGCTTTCTGAGCTAGCTCTTTTGGGGGCAGCTGTGGTGTTGGCCACTGTTGTAAAGTTCTCTCTTACCCTCGTTGTCTCTCTGTAAATACGCGTCTTGTCAACATATTACAGTTTGTGTTTATGTTTAAAGAAGGCGTCATTTGGTGAACAGAGCCAGGAAATGAATTTCTGCTCTTAAAATCATTTGCTTGGAGACCTTAGAGTGGTGTCTTTCCTTCTAAAATACTGACAATCATCTCACCTCAGCCCTCCGTTGAAGCAGTGTTGTGTGAGTGGATGGAGGATTTCCTTGCCTTAGGGAAGGTGCCGGAGAACATAAGGCGCTGTTACTAAGGCCGTAGTGTCCTTGCTGTTACCACTCCAATCACCCACAAATTCCCCCAGAGACGGAGCTGGCTGTCTAAAATAAAAGATAGTAAAATCGACCTGAGAGAAAATGAAATGGCCATTTTACTTAGATAACCAGATGGGGTCTCCTGAGGAAAGGAGTCCAGTCTATCTAATGAAGACGTTGTGCTGTCAGAGGCACTGAATCTGTCTGGTTTCCACAGGGTTCAAAGATTAGGGTCTGGGATCGTCATGCCATTAATCAATACTGCCTTTCCACCTTTTCTAATTGCCATAGACTGGAGAGCATCAGTCCCTAGGCACCACTAATGTACTATATTGATCCTCAAGTGAGGAAGATTGACCTTCAGATGAAGCAAGAAATCTGTTTCCGTGACGGTGAAGCCGCCATGCCCCGCAGTCTCCACTGGGAGGAGCCAGCAGGCCAAGATCTCAGTCAACGTAGGGGGCTGCTCCACTCAGCTTCCAAGTTCCCTAGGTCTGACCTGACCTCTGGGGAGCTAACTGGTAGTGACTGGGAAATCTTCAGCCTAGGTTTGACAGCATGACAGTGTATTTGAGGTCACCAGTGTGACTGGTGCCGTAACAACTGAAGGACAGAATTACATGTGGCACAGGTGTGGGTCCGTAAATGTCAGGTGCCACCAACACCTCTGTGTTGGGGCAGAATGCTCTCTGAACGGGATGCCGGCCAAATCGGACAGCACCACTGAGGTCTGGCCTTTAAAAACTGCCTGCAGTCCCACCCAGTGGGATGATTCGCAGATGGCACAGCAAAGCCTAGGCATGTGCAGGGAAGGAGAAAGCTTTGTAGCACGCTGGTATAGCCTCCCACCCCACTCTCAGCTGAGGAGAGCCAAGGGGATGGAAGGTCAGCAAGAACCCAGCTGTTGAGGAAGATTCAGTCTGGGGCAAGGTCCTCCAGGTTGGCACCTAAAAGCTTTCAGGGCCACATAAAGGACACTGCCTCCCAGATGTTTGTGTTGGAGCAGAGAAGTGACCCATTTAATGACTGTGCTGGTGCTAATGGGGCACCCCTCTTCCTGACTCCCTCAGTGACCTCTTGTTGGCAGCCTGAAGGCAAATGCTATAAGCCAGGGCTGTGCCCCAACCAGAGTTGGTTGGTAACTATTTACCAGAACACTGCTAGCTCAGTTTCAGCAGGGGCTAGATGTAAAAATCCCATAGAGCCCAACAGCCAAGGGCTCTAGGTGATGAGACCAAAGAAACATCCTGACTTCTCTGACCTATGATCCAAAGAATGGGAAGAGGGGTATGTTCAGTGTCTCAGATGCCTATATGTAGGAAAAAAGGTGAAGGCCAGCCAGCTGGAGCCAGAACTGACCAGGGGCCCCTTGCTGTAACCATTCCCACTCTGCCTTGTAGGAAAAGCCAGAAAGAACTGCAGAACAGCCTAGCAGTCCTTATAAATCATTCCGCTAAAACAGGATTGAACAAGTTAAGTAATCCCTTGCCCACATTCAACACTTGAAATGTGAGCTAATTAAAATAAACACCCCTGGTTTTAAAAATGGGAGAATTTATTGTGAATCACCTTGCTAGGCCTATGGGGAGACCCACTGAATGCTGCGTAGTAGGGATTCATCATTCTTGAGGAACTGGAGTGTGTTAGCAGGCCAGGGTGGGGCTTTCCCTCTGGTGGAGAGGAGGCTTAGAAAGCATCGTAAAGTACAGATCTTGCTGGGAAGCACTGATGACAGTCCTCACTTAGGTGATCCCAGACAGGAAGACTGGAGTTGCACTAGGTTTCAATGACTCCCATCTAACCACTTTCAATTTCACCGAGAGCGAAGAAAACCAATCTCATCACCCACAAACCGAAACACCTCTTCTTTCTAAGCACTCCCCAAAGGAAGAAAGCTCTGGGTCAGCTGCACGGCAAGGTACTAAGTTTTCTCAGAACTGACCATCCCGAAAACCCCGAGCATAAGTATCTGAACATAATACTCGTTACTGGGTAGCACAGGGATTGTGTCAGACTCTTAACCACCCCGATGACTAACAAATGGTCTTGTCTGTGAAAGACACACACACCAGAAAAGCATACACCCAGCACAGACAAATGGTTACGTCTTAAACCCGTAATTATGTTTCCTGGCAAAATGGTGGCTAATGAAAGCCACGTGTGCTGGAATAATGGCAGCCTCCCAGATTCCTGCAGGCTCCGGGGGCCCCAGAGGGGGAGCCTCTGAGCAGCCAAGCAGCAGCCAGGCCTTGTGGATCGCCAGTCTGTTGAACTCCTGTTTTCTTCTCCAGAAAGCTTTTTCTTCTTCATATCCGGAAAGGCCTTACTGGGGAATATGCCCATTCCATCCCATTAAGGTGCTTTGTTTCCAGGGCACTATTCTTACTGATGGATCCCTGAAAAAGTTAGGTGGTCTCCTGGTGGTTTCGGAGTTTCCAAGTTCTTACTGGAATCTAAGGTGCCAAGCTGATTCCGTTATGCAAAAAAATGTCCTCCCTTAAAGGACATGCACACGAATGTGAAGCTGTTCAAAAATAACACGGGGAGGGGGCTTCACACAGTTTAGTGGGATGACGTCATGGTACAGAGGAAGGTGGCTTTGAGATTACATTTCTAAATGGTCTGAACTTGGTCCCACTGCTGACATCATCTGGAAAGGTTACAAGGCCTCAAAGGACTGCCCCAAGGATGACGCGGCTGATCTCTGTTTAAACCAGACACAGAGCATCTGTCTCAGCTGGGTGGTCCTGCGTGGATGCCACCGCTGCGGGCAGGAAGCTGACGACAGTGAGCTTCATCTCCCATGGTCCTTATGCACCTTTAGAACTCGCCTTGCTGCTCTGCGTTGTCTTTTGTGATTCGGCCTGGAGTGTCTAGGTATAAAACATAAGGACTTTAGGCACTGCTCACAGCGAGATGTGGAAGTTCCTCAAGAGCCCCTTTTCTGTTTTCTTTTTTTAGATTTTATTTTATTTATTTGACAGACAGAGATCACAAGTAGGCAGAGAGGCAGGAGAGAGAGAGAGGGGAAAGCAGGCTCCCTGTCGAACAGAGAGCCGGATGTGGGGCTCGATCCCAGGACCCCGGGATCATGACCTGAGCCGAATGCAGAGGCTTTAACCCACTGAGCCACCCAGGCGCCCCACCTTTTCTGTTTTCTTAATCAAATGACAGAGCACAAAGTCAACTCCAAGTTTGCAACTTACCTTAATAATAAAATTTAAGAAGACTTGCAAGCAAGGACCCTGTGTGTCCAGCCCTGGGTGTCTATGTGTTGGCTGGCTCTCTTCTTTGGCCCTTGGGGGCCAGTAGAGCCGGTCAAACTCTCCCAGGACACCCCTGCCACTTCCTTATGTCAGGCTTTTGCCCTTGTCCCAGATTCTTTCACCCAAAGGGGAAAAGTGGATAAATAAGTAATTTCTTATTTACATACATTTCTCCTAAGATTTAAATTGCTTTCCTGCTAGTATTTCCTGACATTTGAAGCCTGTGCGAAATACACAACATATGGGAACTATTTCCATCTGGCACAAAAGAAAATAAGAGTCTGCCTATATTGTAATTAGCTTCTAGACTTCACGTGTTGAGGCCTCATCCATGACTGCATTTGTTGATAAGCTGGGGTTTTTGGGGGGTTTTTTAGGGGGCTTTTGGATAACTGAATTTTAAAAACGTAGTGGTTATGACACGATGAAAGTTCAGCCTACAACTTCCTGTTTGGATGACAGGAAGAAGCATGTGGTGTTTTGCAATAGTAACAATTCTAGATCCTCACTGCCCTTAAAAATAACTAGACCAAAGGTGTTCTTTTTTCAGATACTCACAGCTTCTTTAGCAGAAGCGATGGGTCCCTTAGGTAACGGGATAGGTGTCGATGGCGTTATGGGGGATGACGGAACCAGCGGCAGCTGCATAAATTCTTCATCCTTCAACAGCAGAACTGGGAGTTGGGTTACTGATTTAAAACAGAATGGGTCTTAGATCTATAGTCACACTGCTGTGACCCCCAGGAACGTGTAACTACCACCTCTTCCACGACAGGATTCAAAAGGCTAAATCTGGAACCTAATTACATAGAGCCAAATGTTGACCTGATAGTACAATAGTACTAATAGTACTATTATTGTACTATTAATAGTACTAATAGTACAATAGTACTAATAGACTACAATAGTACTAATAGTACAATAATAGTCCTGATTAAAGAACACCATGGTATTGAAATGCAGTTTCATTAAGAGTTAAAAATGGATAAATTGGGGTGCCTGGGTGGCTCAGTGGGTTAAAGCTTCTACCTTCAGCTCAGGTCACAATCCCCGGGTCCTGGGATCGAGCCGCACATCGGGCTCTCCGCTCAGCAAGGAGCCTGCTCCCCTCCCCCTGGTATGTCAAATAAATAAATAAAATCTTAAAAAAATAATAAAAAAGGATAAATTAACTTATTTTCATGGGGAAACCTAATTAATCAAATGAAAAGTAATAGTCTAACCTTAGTTCCCTTCAGTGGAGGTGCTAAATCCACCAGCGTCTCCTTAGATCCAGGAGAAGGAGGTGATTCCATGGGAATATCTGTTTTGGAAGACTAGGAAGAGAAGTATTTTATATGAACATCAGCTTTCTGCTATTCCTGCAACTCAACTTTTACAGTAGTTAATGCTTTCTAGTGCAACTTGATTTCCACTCACTGAATCCCTAACTTCTTCCAACTCTGCCCTTTAGGAGAATGTAGGAAGCAGGGCCCTGAAGAAGCAACTTAGTAGCACTGAGTGGCGTACATGCAAAGTGGCCCTCGAATGAGATTCTAGAACTAAAATTCCTCAGTCGGGGTGCTTGGCTGGCTCTGTCACTGAAGCATGCAACTCTTGGTCTCAGGGTTTTGAGTTTGAGCCCCATGTTGGCTGTAGAGATTACTTAAAAAATAAATAAAAAAAAAAGTCTGCGGTCATTAAGCTACTGATTTGCCAATTCTGGTCCGGTTTTCAGTCTGGCAAAAAAAAGTTGCCTTTTCTCAGTTACTCATCAGCTTCTAATAGTATTGATACAACTTAGTAAAAATTGATACCTTTATCATTTTTGGTGTCTAATAATGGTAAGTTTGTCTGATTTATTAAAATGGTAGGTGCTGCTTAACAGAAGCTCCTGCAACACGAGGAAAATGGAAGACATGGTATTTTGAGAACAGCTAGCTATCCTATCTTCGAGAATTACAATTAGATTTGAAAAGTAAATATGTCACTGCTCTTTGGAAATAAGTAATTGTTTTGTGTACTTGGGAGGGAAAAGAGCTACGTATATCCTAAATTATAGTATATTTAACTTGATGTCCCTAAATTCTGTATAGAACCTAGCATGCTACTTATTCTCATTCTGTATATATGGAAAACAGAAGTTTAAAAGCATGGATTAAAAAAAGAAAAAAGCAATGAATAAAATGCCTAGGAGCTTGTCATTTTGTCCTTAATTTCTAGGTCTTTCTCAAACATTCCAGAAAGCGACATCTGGCTAAAGTGTTTACGCCCCACTAGAAAAATTCTGAGAACATAGATTAGGCTCTGAGATATTGTACTATCCGAAGATTTCCTTGCACCTGAGAGCAGTCTAAGAATGACAAATTTGGTCAGTCTTAAAGACCAAATATAGAGTAAGAAACATGTGGGCTGCCTTTTAAAAGATGGTATGGGTTCCGGAATTGCTCCCACTCTCCCTAGAATCCTTCCTGGACAAAGCCCAAATCTGATTAGTCTCTGGAAACATGGAAAGGCAAAGCAAGAGGGTGTTCCCTGAAGTATATTTTTCATGCTGGACTTCATATCATTTCCCTTGGCTTGTCCAAGGAGTCACTAGCATAACTAAATTAAAACGGATGGGTCCCCACTCCAGAGAAATTGGATTCATCCGCTACACCACACATGCAGCATCTTCCACAATGGTCTCTCTTTCTCACTTGTGCAGATTCTGACTTAGACATGAAGCCACAAAGCAGAGAAGTGAGAGGCCCCTTCTGACCAGAGCAAGATGCTCTAGTGATTGGGCCAATCCTGGGTTTTACGGTAAAACGCTGGAGGTAGAGAGGGGGTGGCGGGGAGCTACTGAATTAAAGGCAACACAAAACGACTAAGAAAATGAGTGGAAGGAAGACAAAAAGTTTACATTCTAGACTGGCCTTTCACCACTTCAAAATTAATAGGAATCTCGACAAATGAAATGGACATGAAAGACGAGGAACCATTCAGTCTCAGAAGAGCAAGAGGCCGCTAACGAAGACTCTAGATGGTTCAGGAGAAGGAATAAACTGGATTCCTAAATTGAGCTGGGACAAAGACAGTAAGAGCCCTATAGCTAGAGTTAGCTTTAGCAATTTTAATTTTTTTAAGGAATTTTTAAAAAGATTTTAAAGTCCACTGGACCAAGTGCCAAAAGATACTCAAAAAGAAATACCCACCCTAACTGCAAGAGGAAATAAGACATTTGTGGAGAGGCCCCAGTTATGGAAATCCAGATCCCAGGTACTCACCTCCCCACTTAGTGGTATCTCGATTGGCTTTGGCTTCACATCGATCAGGTAGAAGGTTCGTGACAGAAGCAACAGAGAAGGAGGGACGTTCTCCTTCAGGTGGAGGTCCTGCCACTGGAGATGGGAGGAGAATAACACAGGACAGAATTCCAGCATGTTCAAACTGGGTGTGACCCACCATCACCAACTGCTTCCCTAGCTTCATCAGCTTCCCCAGGCACATGCTGGGGAGCAGCGGCAGGACAAGGGTGAGTCTTTTGCTATTATATATGGTGTTGCAGTGGATAATTTTATAGATATGTCATACTACACAAGTGAAATTTCTAGGTCAAAGTGAATGCATTTTTATTTATTTTTTTAAGATTTTATTTATTTATTTGACAGACGGAAATCACAGAGAAGCAGGCAGAGAGAGAGGAGGAAGCAGGCTCCCTGCTGAGCAGAGAGCCCGATGCGGGGCTCGATCCCAGAACCCTGGGATCATGACCTGAGTCGAAGGCAGAGGCTTTAACCCACTGAGCCACCCAGGTGCCCAGTGAATGCATTTTTAAATTTTGAAAGATTCCGTGGAGGTTTTCAGTAGCAATGCATGAGTGCCCCTCTCCCTAACCCTCAACAACATGGTGTGTTATCAAACTGATCTATGCCAACTTAACAGGTGAATGTGATATCTGTTTTATCTTCTTACGAAGTTAAGATGTTTCATATGATTATCATCTTAAGAGTTTCCCTTCTGTGAAATGCCTGCCTGTATCCTAACACAGGAATTTCTGAGTAATACGTAGTGTTGACTATCACATGTTGTTGGATCGGTATCCTCACTCCTTTGTGGGAAAAATGTACACTCTTTCAAGAAAGCTATTTGACAGTATGAATCCATTTAATACTCTATGTTCAAGAAATAAATGATTTTAGGGCACCTGGGTGGCTCAGTGGGTTGAGCCTCTGCCATTGGCTCAGGTCACGGCCTCGGGGTCCTGGGACCGAGCCCTGCATCCGGCTCTCTGCTCAGAGGGGAGCCTGCTTCCCCCTGTCTCTCTGCCTGCCTCTCTGACTACTTGTGATCTCTCTCTGTCAAATAAATAAATAAAATCTTTTAAAAATTATTAAAAAAAAGAAATAAGTGATTTTAAGAAACTTTCCCTACAATATGTTCATCTTCCAGCCAGAGCAGGTCCAACATGTAAAAGGAAATAGCTACCTGACGTGGTTTCAAAGTCACAACAGTGGCTCCTATTCCAAAATAATTTGTGTATGTTTTATAGCATTTCTTACAGTTACAAGAATGAGAATTTCATTTTTAAAATTTATTTTCTTAAAAAAGATTTTATTTATTTATGACAGAGAGAGATAGTGAGAGAGGGAACACAAGCAAGGGAGGAGCTGGAGAGGGAGAAGCAGGCTCCCCCCCCATATGGGGCTCCATTCCAGGACCCTGGGATCATGACCTGAGCCAAAGGCAGATGCTTAACTAACCGAGCCACCCAGGAGCCCCAAGAATGAGAATATTAATAGGAGTTACTGCTTTGATTGAAAACAATGATGCTCTGGGATGCCTATGCTCAGTCGGTCAAGCATCCGACTCTTGGTTTTGGCTCAGGTCATGATCTCATGGGTCATGGGATCAAGCCCCACCTTAGCCCCACATCTAGCTCCGTGGTCAGCGGGGACTGAGGTCCCATGCTTAAGATTCTCTCCCTCTGTCCCTCCCCCAACTCATGTGTGCAGGTGTTCTCACTCTAAAATAAATAAATCATAAAACAAAAAAACACTGATGCTCTTAGTTAAAATATGTTGTCAGTGGGAAAATATTAAACGTCTGTTGCCAAAGCTAACACTTTATATTGGCTTGGGGTACTAACTGGAAAGTAGTCCCAGGTAAAGCCCTCAGGCAAGGCTTAGACCTCCAGATGGATTCACACATAACAGGCCTTGAATTCAAGAATTTTGCCCAGGCCCTTAAAATACCCTGAGTATGTAAAATTCTAAGGTGACCCCAAGATTCCTAGTCCCTAGTGTAACCACACCTTCTCCCAGTTATTCAAACATGAATCTAGGTGCTGCTGTGAGGGATTTTGCAGAAATAATTAGGACCCCAAGTCAGCAGAACTGAAAGCAGGAAGTTATTTGAGGAGGTCTCATCTAATCACGTGAGGCCTTTAAATCTGGAGCTAGAGTTCATATGTGAGGCCTATGGGGGGCTAGAGTGTGAGAAGCTCTCCTTTCCTGGCTTTGCAGAGGGACGGGACCTGGAGGTAAGGAATGCAGGGGGCCTGCAGGGCTGAGGAGCCTGGGGCTGACAGCCAGCCAGTGAGGAAATGGGACCTCAGTCCTCCAGCTGCAAAAGACTAAGTTCAGCCAACACACTGAATGAGCCTGGAAGTAGAATCTTCCCTCAGAGCCTCCAGAAAAAACACAGCCTGCACTTCTGACAGAACTTGTAAGCTGGGGTGCCTGGGTGACTCAAGTCGTTAATCGGTTGCCCTCAGCTCAGGTCATGATCCCGGGGTCCTGGGATCAAGCCCTGCAACAGGTTCCCTGCTCAGCAGGAGGCCTGCTTCTCCCTCTCCCACCCTCCCTGCTTGCGCTCCCTCTTGCTGTGTCTCTGTCTGTCAAATAAATAAATAAAATCTTAAAAAAAAAAAAAAGAACTTGTAAGCTAATAAATGGGGTGCTGTTTTCAGCCACTAAGTTTGTGATAGTTGTTTATGCAGCAACAGATCCAAAGGCGTATGTCACCCTGATGTTTACAGCGGCGTTATCAACAATAGCCAAGTTACGGGAAGAGCCCAGTGTCCATCGACTGATGATTAGATAAAGAAGGAATAGAATACTATTCAGCTATCAAAAGGAATGCAGTCTTGCCATTTGCAAGGACACGGATGGAGCTAGAGTGTATTAAGCTAAGTGAAATAAGTCAAAGAAAGACAAATACTTTATGATCTCACTCATATGTGCAATTTAACAAAGAAAACAGATGAACATATGGGGGAGGGTGGAAGGAGAGAGGAAAACAAACCAGAGGAGACTCTTAAGGATAGGAACCGAGGGTTGATGGAGGGAGGGGGGACGGGGGATGGGCTCGATGGGTGATGGGCATGAGGATGGCACTTGTGCCAAGCGCTGGGTATTGTACGTGAATGGTGAATCACTGAATTCTACTCCAGAAACCAATATTGCAGTGTATGTCAATTAAGTGAAACTTAAAAAAAGAAAGAAAACTGATAGAGTACCCTGTCTCCATCAAAAATAAATCTAGCTTCTTCAGCGTCCCACTGCTCAATTAAAGAAGGCAAATTAGGTGGGATGGCTCGCCTGAAAAACAGAAATCAGAGTGAGGTCTACAAAGCGCAAGGGACAGAGTTCTAGTGGAAAGGGCCCCGGAGAGCTGTGACTTGCCTCTGTGAGCTGCTGTCTCAGCTGTTCCTCAGTGAGACCCAGGGATCTCATCCCCCGGGCCCTGCAGGCTGCTTGCAGTTCTGACACGCTCAAAGCGCTCACCCCTTCTTTGGCAATTACCTGAAAGTAACATAAAGAATGGTATTGGCCCTTTTGGTTCCAGTTTTACCGAATCCCAAATTCCAACAAATCAGGGGCAACACCTGTCCTCTCGCAGGCTAAAGGTGCAGCAGCTGAAAATGAAGGGAATTCTGCCAACTGGTATTAACACTATCAGAAATAGTCCCATAACTCCTCTCCAACACTTTGTCACCAAAGTAATCCCCTCCCCTCTCGATGCGCGTTTCCCCTTCATGGCAGCTTTAGGATTCATTAGAAAATATTCCACTTGAAAAGCTCTCAGTGTACCATTTGCTGGATGTCCTAGTGTCGCCCTTTCCCTTACCATCCTCCTACCTCCATCCGGGAACGGCCCTAACTCTGGTCCACAAAACTCGCTCGATACATAATACGGTTTCTGCTTGGTGTGACCCAAAACTAGGGTACTCCTGGGACCAGTATTGTTTATTCCAAAATTCTGAAAGCAACAGCTGAAATCTAAATGAGGCCACCGGGATCATGCTTTCTCAGTTCTGGGAATCTTGCTCCCTCAGGCAGAATGCTTGAAAGCAGCTGATTCTGATTCAAGAAACATTCTTTCCATTTTTTAAGAGTCTAATTAGTAGTTAACGATGCCTTTCCCCCGTCAGATGTCTAAGCTGGGCTCTCCCTCCCTGCATTACGTCTTGCCAATCCTTCTTATCAGACTAACTCACCCAGCAGAATATTTATGTCGGCACCAGCTCTGAGGAAGGGGAGCTGAGGTGTGAGGGCAGAGCCCTGTCCTTAGCAATGGAAGACTCAGGAGCCTCCTGGGCTGCTGTTCCTTCTAGCGGGTCCTAACTGATGTAGATTACTAAATCACTGCTTATGAGGGCATTCTCCAGAAAAGTGCGTCAGAGTATGACAAACAACTCCTAAAATGAGTAATCCGGGTTCAGATTGTCATGGTAATGATTGTTTAAACTGCTCAGTGGTTTGCCAGAACCCGTCCAGTGGAAGATCTAAGAGAAGATACAGCTCTTTATCACGAAGTCACCCTAAAGGATCTCCCAGCCGGGCTAATTCCCTGACGGCTACAGTTCAGCTCTTACTTCATCATCTGCTTTTATAGACTTTAGTTTCATCAGAAGTTGAAAGCGGAGCAAATTGTTGGTTCCAAAGGCCTGCAACTCTAGAAGCTTGCAGAGGGCAACCAGCTGAGGTCGATCTAGGCTCTCCAGGGTTAGCTGATCTTCAAATAGCTTGGAAAATCGAACTATCTCCTTTGTGCTGGGCTTGTGGCCTGTCTGGACCTAGGCAGCGGGACAAAGAGGTTCATTAAAATGTATTTTGTAGGGCTCCTGGGTGGTTCAGTAGGTTGAGCATTAGGTTCAGGTCATGATCTCGTGGGCCATGGAATGGAGCACCAGGTTGGGCTCTGAGCTCATATGGGAGTCTGCTTGAGATCATTTCTCTCCCTCTGCCCCCTCCCCCCACTCACGTACACTCTCCCTCTCTAAAATAAGTGAATAAATCTTTAAAAAAAAATTATCAATTATAAAATGTATTTCTTAATTTAACCTTCTCTGCAGACTATTTGAAATACACACCAAAGCATGTTCATAGACTCTGTCTTACATCTGGAAATGGGCCCTGTGGGGCCAAGAGGCATAAGGTAGTCTCCAAGTCAGCCTAAGTCAGCTGAACAATCAGGAGTAGTTCAGAAGTTTGGCTCTAAATCTACGGTTCTTTCCAATACATGACTGCTTTAAGGTAGGTTTTTGTACACACTACTGTAAATGTTTGCAATATTGTATGTGTATAACTTAGATATTTGCCATCAGAGACTGTGAACAATTTGGACGATCCACAATGACATGAAACTTTCATATAACCGCCAGCCTAGACGTTGCTTCCACAACCTAGGTGTGTACCTATAAGTGTAACCACAAGAGACTGACACCTGTTTGACATAGGAGGAGAACTGTATGGAGTCGTCTCCCAGCTTGGCCCTGTTCCTCCTTGCCATTTCTGTAATCGTTTCTTGAAGAAATTTTGCTAGTTCCAACTTCGCAGCCATTTTCTTTTTCTGTTTTTCCTCCTTAATAACGGAAGAGGAGAAAGTTAATCGATCCTTCAGGTTTACAAGTTCTTAGATAAAAATGAGAGGAAAAGAATTGTCACCCTTGTTATCGTTCATCCCTATTTTGCAACTTAATACTATTTTCAAACCTAGTTAAATGGGTTTTGTGAGAACCAAATAAAAAGTAGTCTCTATCTGCAACTTGCCACCTTAATCTTACCGTTTATCTCTTACTAATACGATGGCCATAAATATTTGATAGATCCAAAATATCCCCTCAATGGAAGGCTTTGTCATTATTTAGAATGAGATATTATCTCTTAGTCTGGTATAAACCATCTAGGCTGCTAGCTGAGCCAGCCCCCAATCCCAGGGTGGTCCCAGATTTTGTGTGGGCCACAAACAAAGAAAACTAGGAAATTAACTCTATGCTAGAGTAGCATATAACTTCAGTGCAAAACAGATACAATTAATTATAATACACTGACTTAAGTGTTATAACAGATATGAACAAAGTACTACACAAAAGAGAATTAAATGTACATTCCTTTTATTATTATTATTTTTAAAGCAATCTCTCCTCCACAGGTGGGGCTTGAACTCACAGCCCTGAGATCAGGAGTTGTATGCTCTACTGACTGAGTCAGCCAGGTGCCCCTAAATGTATACTCTTAAGACAGGATGTTAATGCGTACTTCTAAAACTTCATTTATTATCAGAAATGCAGTGTGGTAGCATTGTCGAAATAACCATAGTGAGAGGCATCTGGGTTGCATAGTCAGTTAAGCATCCAACTCTTAGTCTTGGCTGGGGTCATGATCTCATGGTCATGAGACTGAGCCCTGCGTCAGGCTCCATGCTCAGTGCAGAGTCTGCTTGGGATTCTCTCTTCCCTTTCTCACTGCCACTCCCACTCATGTGCTCGCTCGTTCTCTCTCTAAAATAGATAAACAAATCTTTAAAAAAATAATAACCATGGTCAGGACTCGGGGATGGAGAGGAATAAGATTTTCTGTGTTTGTTTTTTTTTTAAAGTTGCCCAAGAGATTCTAATGATTAGCCAATCATAGCAATCATGAATTTTTAGAAAAATCTTAAAAGACTCAACCAAGGGGTGCCTGGGTGGCTCAGTGGGTTAAAGCCTCTGCCTCTGGCTCAGGTCATGATCCCAGGGTCCTGGGATCGAGCCCTGAATTGGGCTCTCTGCTCAGCGGGGAGCCTGCTTCCTCCTCTCTCTCTCTCTGCCTGTCTCTCTGCCTACTTGTGATCTCTGTCTGTAAAAAAAAAACTCAACCAAAAAAAAATCACACAACGCCAATGGCAATACCATCATTAGAACCCATTTAGTTATCCATTTCCTATATCCATATCCATCCATCTATTCATTTATTTATTGAGCATCTACCTTGCACTAGGTACTAGGGATAAATTGAGCAAAAACAGATAAGAATTCCTGCCCTCATGGGACTTTTAGTCTAATGGGAAAGACACACATTAGTGACTAATGATCATCCAGTAATTCTACAAATTAAAGTATAATAAATAAGTACTATGAAAGAGAAATGCATGGGTTCTCTGATCTGACATAAATAGGAAGTCTTGCTTCTTCCCATCCCCCCCCCCCCATACTTCCTCCCCCCACCACACCACCTCTCTCTCTCTCATTTTCTCATTTGCTTTAGTCCATGGAAAGAAAAGAGAGAGAACGTATCTTCTAAAACTGTAGCCATGGTGTGTATGGATGTGTATCTGGGGAATGAGCAGCATTGAGGAATGAGGAATCTTTAGATAAACCACTTCCTTTCTCCCCCACCTTCCTGAATTCATGAACACATTCCCTGGAATCCCACGGTATTAATTCTAGGTCCTGATTATCTTAAATGTAAGTAAACTAAACCATTGCCAGTCAAATATGCCAATTTGATTCTACCCCTTACATGTACCTCTAATGTATCTTCAAGTTTTTATTCTTAATGCCACTTTCATAATTTAATCTCTCCTGTGCTACTATAATAGCATGCCAGCCGGAAATCGGGAAATCCCTCCTCTGGCCCTGCCCTCTTCTATCCTTTTAGCCAGCAAAATAGTTTTTTCTAAAATACAGATCTAACTGTGTTACCCACCCTCTCCTTAAATTTACCTTCCATTATTCGCCATGGTCAAAGGCAAAGTCTAAATTTCTTAGAGTGGTAGATGCTTTCCAACCTGACCCCAACACATCACTTCTGTCTCTTCCCTGCTCCACCCACAAAGCAGCATTCAGTGTCTCAGATTATGTCCAACTCTTTCACACAAGTAAGCCATTTTAGGTGCTACTCTTTCTATCCAGAAAGCCTTTCAAATGTTGCAGCAAAATTCTACCATCCTTCTAGTCTCGGTTGCATAGTTACCTCTTCTAGAAAACATTTCCTGATCCAATTTAAAAGTTGTCCTGTTCATCCTCTCATCATGTGGTTGTGCCTTCAGACCTTGGTCCAGTAGAGTGGCACAGAAGGGAAAGAACAAAGGGGCCCCTAGCTTTCCCAGTCTGTCACCATCACAGTGACCATCCAACGAGGACCCATCTCCTCTAGGACTACTCTCAAGAAAGAAAGGGTCTGTCTGGCTAAATCATGCCCACTGTTCAACTAGTCACTGCAATAACAGCTGATTTTTGTTCCCTTTGTTTTTTTAATGGTGAAAAACAAGTTAAATTCAATGGAAAGGGGATCATTTTTTTCAACAAATGATGCTAGAAAAACTTGGTATCCACACATAAATAAGAAAAAGATGAATCTTAGTCCTGATGTTCCACCTCTTACCAAAATTAACTCAAAATGGATCCGAGACTTAAATGTAAAACTCAGAACTATAAAAATTTTAGAAGAAAATGTAGGAGGGACACCTGGCTGGCTCAGTCAGTAGAGCATGGGACTCTCGATCTCAGGGTCATGAGTTCAAGCCACACATTGGGTGTGGAGCCTACTTAAAATTAAAAAAAGAAAAAGAAAATGTAGGAGAAAACCTAAGTGACCTTGAATTTGGCAATGAGTTTTTAGATACAACACCAAAAGCATGATCTGGGGGAAAAAAAATACTGATAACTTATATTTAATTACAAAATCAAAAACATTAGCTCTGTGAAAGACAGTTAAGAGAAGGGACAAGCCACAAGCTGGGAGAAAATATCTGCAAAACACATATCCGTTAAAAGACTTGTATCCAAATGTATTAAGAACTCCTAAAAGACAACAATTAGAAAACGAATACCTCCATTAAAAAGTGGGCAAAAGACAGATACATCCCCAAAGAAGACATACAGGTGGCAAACAAGCATATGAAAAGATGCCCAGTATCACATGTCATCAGAGAACTGCAAACTAAAATAACAATGAGAAATCACTTCACACCTATTAGAATGGCTGATATTCAAAGCACTGACAACACTGAAGGCTGATGAAGATACAGAGCTATGGGAACTCTCATTGCTGGTGGGAATGAAAAATGGTACAGGGACTTCAGAAGACAGTTATTTTTTTATGAAACTAAACATAGTCTTACCATACAATCTAGTAATTGCTTTCCTGTGTATTTAGGAATCCAAATGAGTTGAAAGCTTATGATCATAAAAAAACAAACCCCTGCACACAGATATTTATAGCAGCTTTATTCATAATTGCCAAAAACTGGAATCAAACACAATACCCTTCAACGGGTGAGCAGAGAAACACCCCCTGGCACATCCATACAGTGAAATATTATGCAGTGATAGAAAGAAATGATCCATGACAGGACTATACACTGTATGATTCCAATTCTATGACATTCCGGAAAAGGCAAATCTATGGAGAGAGTGCTTGCCATTGGTTGGAGGAGGTAGGAGGAACAACAGATGATGCACAGGGCATTTTTAGGGCAGTGGGTGATGGTAGATACCATGACATCATGCATTTTTCAAAACCCATACAACAGTACAACACAAAGAGTGAAGCCTAATGTAAAGTAGGAGATTTAATTAATACTATCTAGATATTGGTTCTTCAATTGTAACAAACAGATCACACAAATGCAAGACATTAACAACCGGGAAAATGGGGGGAGTATCCAAGACCCTCTGTACTTTCTACTCAATTTTTCTACAAACTTAAAACTAAAGAATAGGGTCCATTTTTTTTTTTTTTTTTTTTTTTTTTAGTTAAAAAATCCTACATACCTTTTTGGATTCACTTTCAAAAGTTGATGGCAACATCTCTGGGAAGAATTTCAGAAATGCTGGTAATAAGAATTCCATGAAGGGTACAATTATGAAAACCATAAATGGAACCAGGCGGAAGAAATCAGCACAAGTCCTCAAGAGCTAAAGAATTAAATGCATACGCAATATTCATTATTTTAGGACATGCCCCAAACAAATACACAAAACCAGAAAAGCCTACCTTGGTCCTTGAAGTGTTAAAAACCCTAGACAGATTTTCTGCAGCTGTGTATAAAATGGAAAGGTAGAGTTTTCCTTTTTACCATTGCTCTGAAGTAACATCTATGAGACACCTTCAAGGAAATCTATGACGATCAAAACATTGCTGGCGTCATCTCTTGTTAGCGTTCATCTATGTTAGCAGTCTGTACTTTAATAGTTCAGTATCTGTCAAAAACTGATTTTTCCCAAAAGCATATACTTAATATATTAACACTACTTTCTATTTCAGGTGCACAGATCAAACCTGAAGCTTCTCAACCCCTTGGGGAGATCAGAACGCAATTATAACCACTTTGTAGGCAAATATGCACAAATCTCAAGAATCTTGCCTAAGGTTGCACAGTAAGTCCGTTTCAGACAAATAAGAAACTCCGGAAGAAACTGTGGTTCTCACTATCAGTTACTATTCCTACTTTGGGATTTTGGGATGAATTTCTCAAGTGAGTTTAAAACTTGGTTCCCAGGGCACCTGGGTGGCTCAGTTGGTTGAGCGGCTGCCTTCAGCTCAGGTCATGATCCCAGAGTCCCGGGATCGAGTCCCGTATCAGGCTCCCAACTCCATTGGGGAATCTGCTTCTCTCTCTGACCCTCCCCCCTTCTCGTGCTCTCTCATTCTCTCTCTCAAATAAATAAATAAAATCTTTAAAAAAAAAAAAAACTTGGTTCCCGAATAATTCAATTTAACTTTACATTTTCTGTCTCAAATATGATTCGTGCCTACCCTTCGTCTCTCTCGTCTGGTCAGCACCTGTCCATGCAACAGCCTCCAAACCATTCTGGCAGCAACTTTGGTGTCAATCCATAGCAAGTAGAATCCATTGTAATAATATTTAAGTTCATCCATAATTCTTTGTCTGTAAGATCGCTTTTCCTCCTTAATCTTCGTGCCAGTTCCTTCTGTGGGCTGAGGGCTTGTCGCCTGATGCTTTTTTGGGGTTTGGAGCAGTTGAGGTTTACCAGGGACCTTTTGGAACCAGCAAGTTGATGTGTGCAGCTTCTGTATTATTCTAGCTTGTAGGTGAAGTACTTTATTGCCTGACTGATTAGGATACGAGTACTTCTTGCTTACACAGTTCTTGATGTATGTTCTATTTAAATGGGAATCTGGCAAGTGAAGAAATGCAAATGATGGGGAATAAGAGCTGGTAGGATGGACAAAATAGCTAGGGAATCTGGAATAAAGAGCAACATCCTCTGAGTTGAGCACATATTGTTATCAACTTACAAACTAAAGAAATCAATATTTATATGGTTAAAATAAAGCAGCGGCTTTTAAGCCATATTTTAAAAGCAGATGATATTCACAAATGAAGGAAATATAACTTTTTACCCCAGTTGAAGAACAGTGTCACTTTATGTTTGAGTGATAGACTCTATGAGAAATATTAATAAGTTAATTCCTAAAAATAATTGCTATGTTACAAGTTAGAAACTCTGGAATTATTCCTGTGCCGGGGGCCATGCTAATCTCTGAACTGTTCCAATTTTAGTATATGCAGTGCTGACATGAGCACAAAACTTTGCAACTATTAATTTAAAAATCTAATAGCAAACATTTTTCCGCCAGGGGTTGTGTTTGAAAGTGTCGTCTTTATCTACTATAATAAAACAGGTGGAACACTTGCATCTTTGGTTACTCTGCTGACAATAGGAATATTGCTTGAACAAAACACTTCACAGTCTCTGCGGAAATTAACCAAACATAATACTGGTTTGTCTGTGTGGTGCCCATGGACTCCCTCAAATGAGAGGCATTTATGTCCCAAATGCCCTTCACCTACAATTCCTTAAGAATGTTAGGAATAAGAACTAAAATTGGGCACCCCAGCTGGGGATCTCTATATTCTCGTTTTGCAACAGCTCACAATCTTCAGTTAAATTAGCACATCAGATTGTTTGAAAATAAAAATAAGACCCATCTAGGCAAAGAAAGTTCCTGGCAAAGACATTTCTTCTGGCAAAGAGATGGCTTTTCCATTCTTTCAGACTGTTTTTGAAGCATGCCAAGATAAAAGACTTTTTGAAGGGCCAAAAGGGAAAATGTACAATGTATCTGGCACACAGTAAGTTCTCAGTGAATATTCTTTAGAATAAATAAGTGATAACAGGCCTACGAGCACAGGTATATGCCCAGGCCTGGCTTGTTTGACAGCCATTTTGCTCATTTTTCTATCTAAGGGCCCACGCAACATTCATCAGTTACAGAGGTGTCACTCTAAAACCATTACATCTTCTCTCTTACCTGTGCCATACATCTAAAGATTACTCAGTCTGAGTTCTAAGGCATATAGAAAAACTGGGGTAAGTTTAAATACAATAAAATGTCAGCTTCCTAAAAAGCAGTAGAGTTAAAGCCAACAAAGCTTTCATTTGTTGTGGAACAAGCCTATCTTTTTACATATATCTTTCTGGTCTAGAAAAAAGTTCATATAAATATTGCAGGGTAAGTGGGGATTCCATGGCTTACCTTGTCCGGGCAATAGCTAAGACTGTTTTATAATTGTAGAAGGCCATACTTATATTTGTCTCAACTAGCCAACATAGGAACCTAGACAGAAGGATTAAGTAAGTAATTCAGTATTTTAAGAACACATCAGTTATAAAGACACCAGGATTTCAGGGTTTACTACTGCAGAGGTAGAAAATTTCCACATTCCATTCAAGGTGTAAAATCTCTCTCAAGATCATTTCCAACAATCTTGAATGTTTTCTCAGCTTGGATTTGAGAATTGTACTTTTGAGTTCTCAACAAATAGAAATGATCTCTAACATCATGGTGCTCATGATGGTGATATGGTCTTTAAAGACTTTTTAATTTCTGGTCAATAACACCTAGTAACTTACTTGAATGGTTGCCAGGTATTTTATTTTATTTTTTTTAAGATTTTATTTATTTATTTGACAGAGATCACAGGTAGGCAGAGAGGCAGGCAGAGAGAGAGGGAAGTAGGCTCCCCGCTGAACAAAGAGCCCGATGTGGGGCTCTATCCCAGGACCCTGAGACCATGACCCTAGCCAATGGCAGAGGCTTAACCCACTGAGCCACCCAGGTGCCCCAGTTGCCAGGTATTTAAGAAGTTAAGCAATACACACTTATTTGTAGCCTAAAAATACAGGTAGGATAAAATATCCTGAATTTGTTTCAGTTAGCTTTTTCCCATACTTGGCCAAGCTGCCCCAAACTTTAAAGATGAAAAGCAGGGGTGCCTGGCTGGCTAAGGTAGAGCATGCAAGTCTTGATCTCAGGGTCATGAGTTCAAGCCCCATGCTGGGCACAGAGCCTACTAAACAAACAAACAAAAAAAGTATTCACTAACCACATTTATGTAGCAGTGAAGATAATACTTGGTACCTACTAATAATTCAAGTGGAGGTAAATCGGTTTCCTGTACTGATGATTCTCCAGAGTCCAAACTGAGCTATCTTTAAACAAGCTTTATCAAAACCTTTCTCCATCCTGTAGTCCTTTTCAGCCAAGGGCAGCAAGGTGTTTTTTGGTAGTATCTCTTAGCGTCAACTTTTCTTTCCTGCAACTGGAAAAGGCGCAGACCAGGGTCCTCTCCTGGACGGAAACCTCAACCACAGAGCTGACATTTTGAACGGGAGTTCAAAGAATACTTCGGAACATCTAAACCCAGGCTAAGGGAGGGTGGTCTCCGGCTGGAGGCAAGCCACACCCGATCAGGCGGTTAACCTGCTCTCTGGCCCCTGGGCACTCCCGCCCTGAGCGGTGGGTAACCACTTCCTAGGCGTGGACGGCCGGGAGCCCCGCCTGCGCCTTCGCGCCGCCCGCGCCCACACGCGGGGCCCCAGGCTCCCCGGGTTATCTTGCTTCTGGCCCTTGACGACACAGGGGCAAAACGCGCCGTCGGCTTTTGTGCACGTAGTGTGTTGGTGGACTGTGTTTGCGGCAGCGGGGTGGGGGGGGGCGGTTCTTTGTTTTTGGGTGCGGGGATGGTGCAGGCACGGGGAGGACAACCTTGTTGGCGATCCAGGTTCATGGAAGGAGGACAAGGAGAAGCCGGGCGCCGGGTACGGAAGAGAAAGGAAGAAGCGAAGCACGGAAGGAGGGAAAATGGAGGTTGAGCTCCAAAGCTGGGGGGCGTGCAGGGGCACGAGGTCATGGGCTTAAGGCGAGTGCGGTGGGGAACTGGAAGCTGTCGGGAAACCTGGGCCCTGATGGGAAGAGCAGGATGCGGAAGGAGCGGGCTCCGGAGGAAAAAAGGTAGGCGAGGTCCACCAAGTAACAGCCTAAGGACTTGGCCAGCCCACCCCTACCTCCTCGGGCGGGCTCCCCGGAACGGCTGCCTCAGTCCTCCAGTCCCTTCCCAAACCCCCCTCGCCCAGGTCCCCAGCTAGAAGGGCCCGAGAAGTCTCTATGGCTCCGCCTCTTTCCTCTCCCATTACGTCACTCTGAGTGACGACACCACCCACCAATGAGCTCTCAGATTATGGGGCGGGAGGGCGTCCTTCGGTGCGGCAGCCCTGGAGGTAGCCAAGGTCCAGTTCCCACCGGCAAAATGACCTCTCTGTTGGGTTTAGTTTAAGCAGAGTCTGTCTTGCGGCAGGGGGCAAGACTGACGCTTTTCCGCCTGTCTCCACTCTCTGGCATGTGGGCTAATGTCCCCGAAAATGCTCGTTGAAGGCTAAAGAACCTCTCACCCTACGGATAGCGTAATATGCCTGATAGTCGCCATGGTAACCATCTTAAAGTCACGAATTACATCACTTTGATGTACTCTCCCCACCCCCAACCCTTACAAATCAACAACTGCCGGGGTTGGGATGGCGCGGAGAGTTCCGCGGAGAGGGAGTGGCAGAAAGGGCGGGAATGGTTAGGAAAACATCGCTTTCCCTTCTCCGGGGCCTAAGAGAGGAATGCTGTGAAATCCTCATATGGAAATCTGAATTCCACTAAAGTAATTTGCTTTATAAATGCTCGCTTAACAGGTATGGTTTGTGATCAGTAGTTTGTGGAGAAATCTCAAATAACATTTAAGATATATAGTCTAACTGTGCAGTGACGTAGGTACTGCAGGTTGGGGGCACTTCAGTTCCTAGGTTGGGTAACTGAGCCGTCTTGGAAAAGTGATAGATATAGAAATGTTCTCGCTCTCCTGTTACCTCTACCCATCCGTTTCATCTGGCTCTAGAAAGAAAACAAAATGTTTAGTGGATCCGCTTGGACTACCAGACAACAAGGAATCGTTTTCACAGGGAGAGTACTTAACATGTGAGCTGACCACAGAACTCACTCATCTGGGCTGCACATTTGTAAGAATGAAAGATGGCGGGTATTCAATTTAAGGTTTTGTGTTGTTGTTGTTGTTGTTGTCTATGTAGACAGCTTTTAATCTACAAAGCATTTTTCGGCTTAAAACCAAATGGATCTACCGTGTTAAATAGGCAGAACTTCTCAGTTTGGCCACTAGAGGGCCCTTTGCGCATGTTGGATACCCGAGTTTCCACATAAAGGTTTCACTTCACGTTCTATGTTTACTAGAATTAACAAAATCTACAAAGCCTTGGTTTCTCTCCCTTTCCTTTCCTGAAAATTTCCGATGGCAAATTTTGAGCTTGAAGAGTCTAGGTAGTTATAATTTTCACATTAATTCCACAAATTAATCACCGTACAAACATGAACATGTACTTTTCTGGAAAAGATCATAAAGATACAAAAATATGCCTTTCAGTTCCCTGGGAGACATTTTATACCAGGAAATATTCTTATTCATGCATTGTATTCACTTACAAACAGGCACAGTAAAATCATTAAGTATTCATAAACCAGATGAATGATTCCAAGCTCAGTATTGGAAAGATGAGCTAGATTTTCTACTACAGTCACGTGTCAGCAATCCTATTATAAAAAGGGAAGGGTTAAGAACCTTCCTGTTGAAATCCATTCGTTCAAAGCAATGTTTGCTTTCTGCTATCAGGTCTGGAAATTTTTTGACTTTCAAGATTAAGTGATTTATCATGTAAGGAGTTTTTGGATATAATCTTTGGAAGAGAAACAAAAAATTCCTTTCTCTTTAACTCTGGCCCTGGGAATTGTGTTAGATTGCTGTCTTAATGAATTGTTTGCTCATTTTGTATGAAGAAGACAAAGTGTGATCTGAACCTCAGAAGATGTTAGATGCTAAAAATGTACATTATTAACTTTAATGGTCATTTCCCTAAATATAGCTCAAGATCAAATGTTATTAACAGTATGTTTTCTTGTTTCACAGGAAGAGATTATATATCTGCCTCCCAGAACTTTAATTTTAAACTCTTGTCAGCAGAGAAACAGATTAAAATAAAATCCCTGGGGAAAACTTACCAAATTCTCCTCAAGAAAAAGTCCAGATATCTGGTCAAGGCAACAATTTATCAACAAAACAAGGAATATACAGGAAGATGGAGAGGAAGGATGAAGGTGGAAAAGATCATAAAAAAAAAAAAAAAAAGATCAATTTAACCTGTCTTTCCAGGAGACACAATCAAACTGAAATAAGCTCAAGGGGCCCCCTTTAAGAGGTATGTGTTCCAGGGGCACCTGGATGGCTCAGTCCTTAAGCATTTGCTTTCTACTTAGGTCATGATCCTGGGGTCCTGGGATGGAGCCCCGCATCAGGCTTCCTGCTGGATGGGAAGTCTGCTTCTCCCACTCCCACTCCCCCTGCTTGTGTTCCCTCTCTTGCTGTGTCTCATCAAATAAATCAATATAATTTTAAAAGAGGTCTGTTTCTAAAGACATTTAAAACAAACAAAAATGTGCTTTTTACTGATTCCTTTAACTCTTGGTACTGCACAAAACAGGTACTACATAAGCATACATTTAGAAATAGTTAATGAATAGGGCACCTGGGTGGCTTAGTTGGTTAAGCATCTGCCTTCAGCTCAGGTCATGATCCCATGATCCCAGGATCCTATGATCCTCGGGTCATGATCCCAGAATCAGTAAGAGGCCTGCTTTTCTTGCTCCCTCTGCCTCTCCTCTTGCTTCTGCACCCTCTCCCTCTGTGTCAAATAAATAAATAAATAAATAAATAAATAAATCTTTAAGGGAAAGAAGGAAATATTTAATGATTAACAGTAATGGGAATGCTTAATTCTCAATATCATCTATAGTATAATTAAAAGGTTTATGTTTTTAAAAACCTGAAACATAATTAGTAGTCATTAAAATAATTGATCTGTAGGAATCTTTTAATTTGTTTAAATGATATTTAAAGACAAAGATATCAGAAATTTCTTGTGGCCGTGCCAAACAGATCCAGAACTACAATGTCAGTGCAGAGTATAACATCTAGTAGTAACATAGCTTTATTATTCTCAGAACAGAGCACAGAGGATAGGTTTCCTCATCTGATTGCTGTTGCCTGTATTTTCTTCTTACATTCAAGTCTCTGTGCCACAACGTTTTTCTTTTTTTAAGTTTTTTTTTTTTTTAAGTTTTTATTCCTTTGACAGAGATCACAAGTAGATGGAGAGGCAGGCAGAGGGAGAGGGGGAAGCAGACTCCCTGCTGAGCAGAGAGCTGGGACCCCGGGGACTCCAACCCAGGACCCTGAGATCGTGACCTGAACCGAAGGCAGAGGCTTAACCCACTGAGCCACCCAGGCTGCCCTCTGTGCCGTAACGTTCTAAGTCATCACCACCAGGCCCCAGGAAATATCACAAAATTTTGCACACTCCGGCAAGGCTACTCTATTGTGTCACACACCTTCTATTGTTTAACATAAATTTCCTAGGATGGGGAGATCTCAGAGGGTTACAGAGAATTTTGACTCTCGTTTCCTCCGCTCATTCTTGTGTGAGCTCTCTCGAGGGCAAATGCCCTCCCATCCCTCGAAGGGAAGGCCTGGCAGTGAGCAGCAGACGGCCCAGGCACGTGACGGGCACGGAGCCCTCTCCTAGGGGTCCCGGCTGCAGTCGGCGCTGACGTCCTCCTCCTTACCCACAAGCCTCCGGGCCCGCAGCGCGAGCAGGAAGAAGGCGTGTGGGGCCCGGTGCCCGCCAGGGAGGTCAGCGCTTCCTCACAGCGACTGAGATGCCGCCACCGCTTGCGATTGTGGGGCGGGATGGGGGTGGGGGGGGGCATCCGGGACTCACATCCGAGGCTGAGAGAGACGCTGCCTCCCACGGCTCAGGTCTGAAATTGCTGCCACGGTTTCAGACGCAGACCCATGTGAAATAGGAAGCTCTGACTCTGACAGCTGTCGGACAGAAGGCAGCCGAGGAGACACACAAAGTGTTCTTCTCTTTCCCGGTCATCTTAGCCCGGCCTCGTTTGTAGGTTATTTCTGACGTATAGGGAGTGTGCAGCAGGGTCCCTCTGAGGAGGACCATATGGTGTTTAATATGTGTTGTTAACTGAATAAGTCTCAAAGAACACGCACGGACGCAGTTTTACCTCACAGGCCCAACCTTTAACCTGTCTTCTGGTTGTGTGTGTGTTTTGTTTTTTTTGACTTTCCATCGTATCATTTCTTCCTGCCTCTACCTTTATTGCCTGCAGTCTCACTTCTTGTCTAGACTCTCTCGGGCCCCTCCTCTCCGCCCGGCTGGCTACCCTCTTCCTCCTTTCGCTCCCCCA